AGCAAATACAAGTTGAAGAAATATTTATTTGAGAATAAAACGAAAGAAAGCGTCACGCTCGATTGCGCCAGTTTCGCTACTAGAAGACTATTACGAATAGCATGCACCGAGTTGCCACAAAATTCTGGAGAGCGATCTGGTCTAATTTCCTGTTTTGTTTTTGAAGTAAGCAATACCTTTTGAACTAACGAACGATAGCTTCAGGAGAAGATTTAAGAAAGATAATTGACTGGTTTTTTTTCAAATTCATAATTTTGTCTTTCCACCTGCGCAAGCGGATCGTTTGTCGTGCTGTTTACTGAAATTAAAATGCCGTCTCCAGTACTTTTGATGCCAGAAAATAAAATGGAGTCTCTTTACTCGTTCGTGGATTAATGCCGTTGAGAAATACGTTTAGAAACTGCAGCTCGTAAAAGACCCCAGATACAAGCAGACTGCGAAGGTAATAATGTACCAGGCGACGATATGCGGCCGGTAAAACGCGGCTGGATTTGTACTTCGCAAAAAAGTTGAATGTAACTCAAGCCGACTCCAAAACAAAATATTACTATATCCACAGTAATCCTGCTGCTCAAATTCAGTCGCTATTTTATGACCATAATTTTTGTTTCTATTGCATTCTTCCTTCTCCTTTCTAACGTCGATATTCTGCGAAGTCTCACTTTGCCATTTTTTAAGTTCTCTTTCTTTTCTTCGTAGAAGTTTTCGTTTCGAAATTCTTTGCTCTGAATATAGAACAGTTTGAAAATTGTTACTTGCCTGCTATTATCCAGACCATTTAGAACAGTTTGAGGAATAACTCAGCATTGTTCAATTAGAATTTTGTTTGCGCAATCATGACGCTGATAAATTTGAATAACTTGAATATACCACCAAAATCCGTCTGTGTTCGCAGGCTAATCAAAACCACCTCTTACGAGATTTGTTTTCGTTCTCGACATGCTCAGATAAATGGAAACAGATAGCTCGTTGAAAGCAACTGCCAGCTTTCGTTGCTATTTTAGTTAGCGGTATGCTCCGTGAACTGACTGCCGAACGGACGAAGAGAACTCATCGTTTTTGTTCTTCCAAAGGAATCCTCGTTAATTTAAGTCTGTTTTTTACTGTATTTTTAGCATTTACTATGTTTTATTCTAAGTAAATGACGACGTCGTTTTAACATAAAAACGCTTTTTCTTCACGAGTTCTACTGTTCCCTACTAGTAGAGGCTCTTTTCCTGGTGTTCGCTGACGGGAGTATTATTTTCGCAACGTTAAACAACCCTTTTAATCAATCACCGAGGGTTACACACCCAAAAGTGAAAGTATAACAGAATAAGCTATTTAAACTTAAATTCAAACGAAAAAACAATAGTTTCAATAACGAAAGAAAAATCACTATCACCAATGGGGAACTGAATTAAATATTCTTGAGAAGTAGCGTGCATACATTAAAGTTCGAAATTAAATAGCAACCGTCAAATGTTCATTTTTCTCAGTAATAACAAGGAGAAAACAGACCTCTGCCATGGGTCGAAAATGGCTTTGCATTTAACCGCCCATTAATTCTCGTCCCCAGAGGCCGCGCTCCTTTTGGTTAGCACCAAGAATCGCGACCTCTGGATAGGTCCAGTGAGATTCCGGCACAATAATGGGACTGGAACCAATCAGATTTGTCAGACTTGACTCTGAGCATGCGCAGAGTGACGGGAAGTCCGTGAATCGCGGACTTCCTCTGTTGGAGCAACCATTTCAGGCATGCGCCATAGATGCAGACTGCGCAGTGAAACCGATGGGCAGAATTCGGTTATTTCAAAATGGTTACTCCCAGAACTCTCGTTTTCCGACCGCTGGTCAAGGGGAACGAAGACTCTGGGAACGATATCGAATCTAACTATGCGCAAGTACTAATGAGTAGATTACGTAATTCCCAGAGGTCACGCAAAAACGTGAAATAAAAGCGCAAAGAAATTTCTAGTCGCAGTAGACCTCTTTAGCTTGGGTGGTTTGTTTTCCCATTGGAGACCACGTGATGATACTCTTGAGAATTCTTGCTTTAAATTTTTTAAACAGTCGCATGTATATGATGGATAATTTCAAGATGGATACAAGAAAAATTCTCTAGAGAATATCACGTTGTCTACAATGGGAAAACACACCTCCCAAGCGGTTTATATTTGAGGCCCAAAAGCGCGGTTGTTCTCTTCCAAGGATCAAAAGCCTTACCTTATCTTCCTATGAAAGATTTATTTCAGCATTTTC